TGAATATATTTGTAAGCTCCACTACTTTCTTTGGACTCATTGGCAGCCGGGCTTACAACTTTTTAAACCCCTGGCAGATTTTATTCAATTGCTGAGTGGTCAAAATAGATGAGATCTAATTTACATGGTGTTGAAGTAGTATTTATTGGACTGCAGAACTGAAGAGTCCACACATAAGTCAGAACCATCTGAACATGACTGGTGAACAAAATCCTGAGTAGTTTATCCCATTTCCTTTGTTTTCTTCTGTATCAGCTTCATTCTCAGACAGGATCTTCCCAGCTATTGGGAAGGACCCATTTTAGCAGTTTGGCAACCCCAAAAAGAATTAAGAATCACTTTCTCAGTTATTCAACAAAAACTGTAAGGTCTGTTTTTCAGTTGATCAGGCTTAGCTCACTTGCCCATCTGTGAATTTAATCAGCAGGATTGGGTTAGGGGACTGATAGGGAGGAATTGAGAAACAGTCAACATTCTCCTACCTGAACCCCATGACTGAGAGCAAGAAATCCAAGATGTGGTACCATAAGAAAGAGAAAAGGGAGTCAGACACCATTTCTGCAGAGACTGAATGGAGAGGCTGCCCCATTCCTGGTCAAACACCACTGGAATGTAGGTTGGAGTCATCTGGGGTTTAATGTCATGTTCAAATGTATCCATTCTTCTCTCCATGTGAAAGTCACTTCATCAGAAAAGATAATTTTAGGGAAATACACATGGAAATTGTGAGTAAATCAGTTCTCAGGAACAGAGCTATACTGCCCATTCTCACCTGTCAGCATGGTTAGTTTTCAAGGATATAACAGGATCTCAGCCTAAGTTCCTTCAGCCCCACCAAAGCAGAGCCTGAGTAATCTATCTCCCTTGAAAGCAGTTTTATCAATATTTTGAGAAATATTTCCTGTGTATTTACTGATGCAGAACTGGTAAAGTAAAACATAGAAAGAGGATATGAACTAAGATATATATAGACTAAGATTCCTGTCCCTATAAATATTTTTGCATTTTGGTTGATAAGGAGCTGATGAATTCAAGTGCATATTAAGGAAAAAAATAAAAACCTTTTTTTGGGGGAAATTTTCCTTTTTACTTCATTTTCAAAAACAAATGATTTTTAATTTAATCATTCCTAGGAGACAAACTCTTCACAGTCTACAAATGTTGACTGAGTCTCAACATGCTTTATTTGCTTCCGGTTTTGGCAGCTCCTGTACTTAAATTGAAGTTCTACTTTCCCCGAACACTCTCATTTACGTCAGTTTGGGGTTGGGTCTGGAGACCATTATAGCAAACACTCTGCTTTTCCTCAGTTACAAGAAATAGTGAAGCGATTTGGACAACATGTTTAGGTAATCACTTAAACTATTTAAACCTGTGGAACATGATAAAGTCTGTGAAACATGTTAAGTATAGAAACTTGGGTAGCAGATACTTAAGACTTATTTGAGCAAATCTGAACTAAAAAAAAAATTCAGTTTCCTTTCTAGGAAGCTACCAGGCAACACAGTCATGTTCATTGATTTTATTTTGGTGGCAATCTAATTGATTTAAAGGAGATGGTCATTTCTGTGTAAAGATGGTCATTTCTGTGTAAACATCACCAAATTTCCCGTACTGTGAACAATTAATTAAATCACTGTGGTGCATTTACCAAAGCTAAGAAACCAACACTGGCACTTTATTAATAATAGTGACCGCCTCCTTGGATTTCACAATTGTTTCCACTTTCTCTTCCAGGGTCATCCCAAGGTACCAACTTGTGGTTAGTTATCATGTCTCCATACTTTTCTCTGGACTACAGCTGAGTTCTTAAAGTTCACTTTTTCATGACCTTGACTTTGAAGAGTTCTAGTCAGCTATTTAATATTTCTCAGTTTAGATTTGAGGAATGTTTTGGTCTGGTGGTACAAACTGTTAGAGTGCAGCACCATGAGGCTTACCACAGCCACTGCAGTATGGGTTTGAACCTCGGCCTGGGAGGTGACCCACATGGTGCGGCAGACCTCTCCTGTCTCACCTGCTGCTCCCCTCAGCAGTGTACTTCAATCTGCCTGTTCTGCTCCCCACTCTGTCTCTGGTGAATCCTCTCACCGCCCATGCACCTCTGGCCTGAACCCCAGTTCTGTATGTATAAAGAGATAAATCTTAAAATAAAAAATAAATAAAAATCCACTCCAGAGATTCTTAACCATGTATCAGAGAGTATTTTTGTCATAACATAATGTTAAAAGCCCTTCTTTCTGGGAATGAAGCTCAGTTCCACATCCTGTATGACCTCCTCACACCTCATTTCCTATCTTTGTAATCTCAAAGATATCGGTAATATCTAGTGCAGAAACATGTTTGGAAGGTTGAATGAGTCAATATTTGTAAAACTCCCGAAAACATCTGGAATTGAGCACAAAGTCAGTTCCTGCACCTTTGGATGGTACCAAAGCTTAATAAAGTGACCATGATTTGTTGCATCTAAATAAAGGAAGCAGCTTGTTTCATATTTTCCAGCTTGCTTAAGTTCTTATAATTTGTCAGCTACTGTTTGTTGAAGAAAATGATTTCAATCACCTGTTAAATTTGCTCCATAGAGAAGTTAAGAGAGGTCAATATAATCTCTTTATGCCTCTCTGACTTTCATAAACTTGATAAAATGAGGCTGCATTACACTAGCAATTAGAGAACAAAATGAAATATTGTTCAATCTTTAAAGAGTAGCTTTCTAATTTCTGGGACATTTTCCCATCAAGTACTAGAACACAATTGATGGCAAGAAGCATAACCACAAAAACTCTTCATTATTCATGAGCTAGCCATATACTTTATGACCTTTAAATTATTTCTCATTTCCTACTGCTTGACATAAAGTTTGATCTCCCTCTAAGAGAGTTTTTGACAATCATTTGTTTTATAAATATTTTCTGATTAATAAGATGGAGCATCTTTAATTTTCCTCTTTTATAGATAAAATGATGGAAAAATAGAACTACAAAATAAATCAGTGATAGAGCTCAATGGTAAAAAGAAAAAAATCACAAAACTGCATCTCTAGTATTTTCTTTCTGAAATAATTCATACCTTTAATTTTTGATTCAAAAGAAAAATTGGCAATTGAACCATACCCTACGATTTTTTTAAAAGATTTATTTATTTATGAATACAGAACTGGGGTACAGACAGAGGTACAGGAGTGATGAGAGGATTCACCAGAGACAGAGTGGGGAGCAGAACAGGCAGAATGATGAAGTACACTGTTGAGGGGAGCAGTGGGCGAGACAGGAGAGGTCTGCTGTGCCATGTGGGTCACCTCCGGGTAGGAGGATTGAACTCGCACAAAAGTGGCTGCACTAGCTGCAATGCTGTGTCCTAACCCGTTGCGCCACCAGGGAGGGCTGCAACTTGCTATTTTTTTTTTTTATAGAGATATTCACAAATGATTGGGTTTATATTTTGCAATGTTGAAAACAACTATTTCCATTTTATTTAATGGAAGAGATTGACGGTTTAATCTCTTCTGGCAATCATGCATGTTTACTCACTTCTTATAACCACCTTGGGGTAGCAGAGAAATGAATAACAACTTGAAGGTTATATGTGGTAACTACAGTTGAACATACCTTTAGTCAAAATATATGTGTAGTTTATAGTTTGGCCTTCCTTCTAGGCTATTACACACGTTTGCATTTTTGAATGCAGAATCCCACGATTGGGGGGAAAAAATGATCTGGGTATAAATGGATTTGAATGCAGTTCAAATCCAGATTGTTCAAGGGTCTGCTGTAAATGCAGAAGTCTGTGGCTGGCTAGAAAATATCCCTGGGCCAGAGAGGCCATCCTTTTCCCTTGCCTTTTCTCCTATCATCTCATTCCAGGGTCGCCAATAGATTTGAAGCCAAGCTGGAGTCACACTTAACCCCTTTGTACCAAATATCAAATTACTCAAATTTCTCTAAAATTCTAGTGAAAACCCAATGAAGGTATTAAGTTAAATGACTGAAATTCCTGATCAGGAAACAGAACTATGTCAATGTTTCTAGATAACGGAGGAGATCACTGAAAGTCCTGCAGCAAAAGGAACTGAATTTTATGTGTGATTAGGAATTTCAGATTTAGGAACATCCAAAATTTGGGCGCTACTCTGTGAGCGTCCACTTTCTAGATTCTCTGTGCTATTTTGCCCAGGAAAGGATCAGAAGTGAACCCTGTGAGCCTGCCCTCCAGTGCCTTCACAGACTCAGGGTGATCGTCCCCCCTCCAACCCTTCACCCCCACCCCATGTGTGAAAGGAGATCTCTTGGGAATTTTTGAAGTACAACAATTCAGAAAGAACAAGGAAGTTCAGCAGGATACAACAAAAGAGGTCAGTCTTTTTACAGCTCTTAACCTGACTCCCCTGAAACCAAGAGGGGATTCAAGTTTTAACAGTCATACCTGTTATCACCACGTGAAAACAAAACCAAGGAATGCCGTGTGATTTGGGAGGACCAGGTTGAACATTGGTCTCTGGAATCTGAGTTGACTGTGTATTTTTCAGAGTCTTTGTATCAGACATACCAAATCTGCAAAGTGAGAAATGAGAGGGTGGCCAGGCTGACTCACTCAGCTCTGATAACTAACGACTAAACTTTCATTCTCCAGCCACCTAACCACCACAGACCCCATCCAAGGGATCTCCTGGATCGCCTCCAGAGCTGTGACTTCGCCTTGCCTTGTGCACTGAGGTCACTTCCCGACCCGTTGCAGACATAGCTGTAATTCATTCCTACCTTGGGGATTTGGGGAGGACGGAGAAAATCCCTGAGGCTGAGGAGTTACGCGGGAGAGGAGGCGGGGCAGCACCCGCGAGTCACCCCTACTCTTCTCCAACCCAGAGGGATGGGCCGAATTTCCCCCGTGAAAGATTTGCAGGTCCGGGAATTTCCCTGGCCCCAGGCTGCGGACTCCCCTGCCCCGATCATGGATAAAAGAGGTTCGCTCATCTCGGGGAGTCACAGAGCCAGCACCACAGACACCCTCCACACCAGCAACCCTGCTCCAGGCACCGCACCCCAGATCCTCCAAGCTGAACCTCATGGCCCGCGCCGCCGCCCCAGCTACACCCTGCGCTCCCCGGCTCCTCCGGACAGCGCTGCTGCTCCTGCTTCTGGCCGCCGCCTGCCGGCGCGCTACAGGTAACGCCCGGGCCCGGGGTCTCAGGGACGCAACCCGGGTCTGTGGGCGCCCAGCGGGACAGCCCCGCTGAGCCAGCCTCTTCTCTTCCCGCAGGGGCGCCCGTGGTCACGGAGCTGCGCTGCCAGTGCCTGCAGACAGTGCAGGGAATTCACTTCAAGAACATCCAGAGTGTGAAGGTGACGCCCCCAGGACCCCACTGCGACCAAACTGAAGTCCTGTGAGTGCTGCTGCTGTTGTTTGTCACCTCCCTGCAAGTCCTGGTTCTCCCACCCTATCCCCCCCCCAGCCCCACCTCCTGCCTGACCAGACCTCCCCCACCCCCCTCTCTGCAGAGCCACTCTCAAGAATGGACAGGAAACTTGTCTCAATCCTGCAGCCCCCATGGTTAAGAAAATCATCGAAAAGATGCTCAAAAAGTGAGTTCTGGGTTGAGTCACAATGACTAAGGCCGTGGGTCTCAAATACTGGCACCTGCCTCCTGAATATGATTCGGACACTGGTGGTTTAGGGAAGGACTGGGCATCATCATAGTGCAGAGCAGGATTCACTATTAAGATTTAATCTGCTCTAGTGATAATGTATTTCTAGGGCCCTCCATCCCGATTCCTGACCCTAGCCCCATTTAAATGAATGTGGGTAAAGCTGCCTTCAGTAAAATTCTCATAGATGTTGGTTAGTTAGGCTGAAAGACCATCCACTGGTTAAAAAGCACAGGCATTCTTTTCTGTCTCTTCTGGGCTTCACACCCAGAACCCTTGCTTTTCTGCAGGACAGGCCCTACCACTTAATGGTGAAGGGCTCGGAATCTGCAGTGACACTCAAAGAATACAAATCAGGGTTCCACCACTTACTGTCCTTGAGGTGACTCGAGGACAATTATCTGATCAATAGGGAAACAGAGCAGTGGCTGCAGGATTGCTGGGGAGCTAAGGAAGACTCTGTGTGACACGGTCCTAGAGTAGCAGGCGCTGGCTGTTTGGGGACAATAATTCAGTAGAGACCACAGATCCCAAATACCTTCCTAAATAAGAACACCCAAGAGCCTAGAGGTGTCTGCCACGCAGCTTAGGCAACAACCAGTTGGTGATTCAGACAACTTTGGTACCTTGAGGGCAGGAACAGAGCATTATGCAGGTAGTGCTACTGAAGCAGCTACTAAAGACTGTCCTCTTCTCTTTCAGGAGCAACCCCAACTGACAAGAAGAAGGATGAAGCCCATCTGTGGTTCTAACACAAGCAGGCCCTGAACTTACAGGGATCAGAAAAGAAAAAGAGGAATCTTGGGCTCCTGGGGCCACCTGCTTTGGGCTTAATATGTTGGATCATCTCTTAGGGGTTGTTTATGTATTTATTTATTTATTGGTGGGTTGGTTGTGAAAGATATTACATGTAAAAAGTATTTAATATTAAATATTTAATATTTTACATGTAAATGTAATTGGATCTACTTGAATATTGAACCATTAGTTTTATTGCTTATTTTATGTTAAACCTAAATTAATTCAACCCTGATTCTTCATTAATTTGATGGTAAAAGTTTGCAAGTTTTCTCTGGTCATTAAACTAGTATTTTTAAGGAACCCCCAGCATGCCAGCCACTGTGATCCAGGTTAAGGGATCTAAGAAAATGAGGTCATTTTCCGTAGAGTAGGGAAAAGTATGCATATTTTGTAACTGTTTAAAGGATACCAGTTGTTATTTATTGAAGTGATTTCAGAGTATGTGGAGACATTTCTCACAGTGAAGTTTTAGGAACTAAGATGTTCTAAATATCCTTTGGACATTCTATGTCTTTTTTTGTAAGGCATAATGCCTTGATTAAATGTAAATTGTTTCTCTATATCTCTGAACAGAGAAATTTCTACAGTTTGCAATGTACATGAAAATAAAGTGTCTTAAAATGAAGAATGTTTGTTTCATTTTTCTGGAGAAAAAAGTACTTTTAGTTGATAATGTGATGATTTACACAGTGCTTCTTAATTTGCTTTGTACATCCAATTTGCTACACAGGAGATCAAGGTTTAAGCTGTGATTAATTTTATCTGGTGATAGCTATTGCTCCCCTTGGCTTTCACTTACACAGAATGCGCCTCCCCAAATTTGCAGGCTGCCCCCATCTCCTTTGGCTGCCCTCATCCCCTTTTGCGTGAGAGTTACTGATAGAACTCGTTTTGTAAGGAGCCTCACTACCTTCTTATTCTGGTTTACCTCCCATAGGTCATTTACAATCTTTTAACAATTGCAACAAGAGTTCTCAATTCATGGCTTTTCTCAAACAACTATGAATTTAATGTAATTGACAATAAAATTGAGGAAAACTAGTTTCTTTTTCAAAAGAATTTGAGACATCAAGCAATTTGAAAAAATGAGTAACTCAATATTTCAAAAATCTAGATCTTAAAAAAGATCTATTAATGGGTCTTCCTTGTGGCCTAGGGATTGAGTCTCAGCTCGATCACCACTACTGTCTGAGCTCCTTCCCCAGCCAGGTAGCTAACCCACATATAATGCAGAGGAACCCTCTCCTGCCCGCAGCTTCCCTTAGCAGTGTATTTCAGTCGATCTGCCTGTTCTATTCCCCACTCTGTCTCTGGTGAATCCTCTACCTGCCCCCTAAACCTCTGTCATATACCCCAATTCTACACACACACACACACACACACACACAAGTCCAGTTGATATTTGCAATCAATTTTCTAGCTTTCACAGAAAAGAAACTACCTCTGAGTTTGTTATCTCACTCCTTTACACCAATTTATCAAACAGTACATTTTGCAATTTGAGTGTATCAGTTCCCACTCTTCCTAGAACAGATTTTCTGGGAACTGATAGATTGCTTAGCCTGGGATAACCCTCTGGAAATTGGTACTCAGCAATACCACTGATAGACAGCAGCATTCCATGTTTGCAAGAGAAACAGACTTGGTATTATCAAGGGAAGCAAAATCCCCATCATCTAAAAGAAACCACACCCCAGTTTTTAAGTAGAAGAATGGCTGTGGTTGTTTGGGGTGTGTGCTTGTCTCTGACTGCAGACTCAGGTATTCCTGCGCCCTGGGTGAAAGGCTTCATTCAACAGAAACAGGAAGGCAAGGCTAGAGGCCTGAATATTTGGGATCAAGTTCTGTCTTGCCCAGTAGCCAGATAAATAAGGGCTCTAAGTGGCAAGAGATATAGCCCTCCCTGGTGGCACAATATGTAAGGGCGCAGCACTGCAAGCTAGCCACAGCCGCTTTAGTGTGAGTTCATCCCCGCCACCCCCGCCCTCCGCAGGTGATCCACAAGGTGATCCATATGGTGCAGCAGACTTCTGTCTCACCTGCTGCTCCCCTAGGCAGTGTACTTCCTTGATCTGCCTGTTCTGTTCACCATTCTGTTTCTAGCGAATCCTCTCACAGCCCCTGCACCTCTGGCCTGTACCCCAGTTCTGTATGCATAAATAAATAAATCTTTTAAAAAAAAAAGTTAAAAAGGTTACCTGCATAATTCTAATGATATTAGTCATGAATGAGAAGAAAGAAAATGTGTTAGCTATACAGAGGTAAATAAATGCAAGCTATTCTAGAGGCTCTAAAAATGCCAGCATTCATTCCCTAATTCCAAGGGAAAGGACCTGCAAACAGGACTCTAAGGGCTTTATAAAGTCTTCACATTAATGCCAGTCCTTATACTTAACCATTATTTTGAGTTTGCTGTACTGGCCACTTAGCTTTTGTTAATTACAGAACATAGAGCATAAAATGGAGAAAGAAGGTACAATTATTCACATGGTGGGTAAAGAAGAAGTTTTCATAGAACTGGAAGTAAATACCAGCTCTATTACTTGTTGACTATTTTCTTGAACAAGTTTCTTGACACCCCCCCCCCTTTCATTTCCCTTTCTATAGAGTGGAGACAACAACAGAATACACTTTCTGAAATGTTTGCAGGGAGTTAAGTGGTACTGGTAGCTTCAGAAATCTAAGGGCTATTGCCCCTTAGGTCTACCCTAGTATCCTACCTGAATCAAGTGGATACAAAGTTTAGTTTCACACCAAATTACCTTGAAATTTTGCAAGTACAAGGCAGTTTCAAATAAGAGAGAAATGCAGAAAGTAGGGTACTCATAAGGGTGTGTGAGCTGGTGGTCACGGATAAAGGAAGCAGGAAAAGAACACTATATGATACATCAGCACAATGAGAGGTCTGTCAGCAGGAAACAATTGTGGGTAGTGACTGAGGTTTTCAGAGAAATCTTACAAAAGAGCTAGAGTCAGGGAGAAGGAAACATGGCTCACTCTCTTATCATTGGCCTTTTCTGTGAGTCCTCAGGTACTCTCTTTGGATTTTTAGAAGTAAAAATGAGAGATGCCGGGATGGCAGCAGTGAGGGATGGGTTAATCTAGAAAAACAAGCAATGCTATTCTCTTTTTACTGAATATTCATACTACAATAAGGGATAACACCTTATCTTTCTTCACTGTTCTATATCCTCTCCACTTGCTCATGGATTCTGTAGTTGCCATAGGTAACATTCACTGTCCTACTCAGGCTTTCTGGTCTTCTGCTTTCCTTCCTGAGGACTTTGCGCATTTGGTGATAGAGCTTGGGCATTGCAGAGAGAGTTTGCTCAGCTCACAGGTAGGATGGTTTGTTATTTAATGCCCTCAGGGGCAACTCTCTTTGAGAGAGAGGAGTTAATGGTTAGTGAATATTCCATTACCCAGGCCCTAAATTGGACTGTTTTTAAATCTTTGTCCATAAAGTCCATCACTCTGACATTTATGAGTTTTCCACTGACTTATTTTCCCCCCAATTGTGAGTCATGCTTTTCTACTCCCTGACAAGTGCGGTAATTTTTATTTGCTTTAGGAACTTTTAAATCTTATGTTGTTGAGTGTCAAGATTTTGCTTTCCTCATTTAGTCTCGTTCTCTGTCTGGTAGTCAGTGAAATTACTGAAGCATCAGCTTGATGTTCTTGAGGCTTGCTTTAAGTTTTACAGATTGGTCTAGAGAGAGCTTTTTGCCCTAGCGCTTGTTTAATAGTAAGTCATTACTAAATCATACCCCTCTGTGTTTCTATTGAAATCCCTGATTGCTCACAATTCTCACCACTCTAATAGACCACTCTAATAGACCTAAATTATCTTCCCAATCCAGATGAAGTCTGAGAATTGTTCAGTTTACAGAATTTCTGTCTGACATGATGATGTTTTACCTTTTACATATGTGATTTAGTATTGATCAGAGACCTAATGAAATTTTGATGTAGATTTCTGTATGGATCTTCCATTCTAAAAACTACTCTATGACTAATATACCTGAATGCAAATCAGTGTCTCTTCATTCACCAAGGTCAGTGAGCTGTGTTAGGATCTCTGTGCCTACACCATGGCGGAAAATTATTTCTGCAAAAACAGTGGGAGGTCACAGTCC